TATTATGTAACTGACGTGGGTACCAGAAAATCCATCTCATGGAGGATCCGAATAAACTAGGTATCTGTATCTGTCTGTATCTGAAAGTCTCTTTCTCAATAATGAAACAAGTTTGTATTAGTTGCTCTGTATTTCACACACATTGTGCTCCCCACTAGCCATAAAGACAGTGGAAGGGCTGAAACGTTTAATAAAAAAGTTAACAAAAATGATAAAAATCTTTTGATAGGATATTACAGGCTACCATTGTCTATGTCTGGTACTAATGGGTCGTCGGGGGTCGCGTGAAGAGCTCTCGCAGTTCTGCTGACCGCTTTTATAGCGTTGACTCTGCTGACGAGTACATTACGTGCTAGCATGCCACGCCAGCTCCGAGCGTGGCGTGCAAGGCTCAGAATCCGCCCGTGACAGGCAGCAGCACCTGGCGGCGGGGTGCCGAACTACGCTCAGTCAATAGAGGGTCCTGTTCGTCAATGCTTCTCTACTGCCATCAACATTACCGGCCTACTTTTTATTTCTGTATATAGGCATTTACATATTCGTGTACATTATATAACTATAATAATATTCCTGCATCTGCAGGTATATTTGTTAAGTATGTGATAATTAAATTAGACTCATTCAATGCAAATGGTCGAATCAACTTCGTTCGATTCAATTCATTTCCAATGGTTTAATTAAGTTAGCCTTCACCCTGGTGGGAAGGCTTGATGATAAACAACAAGAATATGAAGTAGCTAAGAAGTAATAAAAAAGAACAGATAAGAAATATCTGGATGGTGTTTCTTATTCTTGAGTACGGCGAAACAATATAATCGATAAATCTGACTGAAATAGACACGTTTTCTTCAGGCTATCACGTTCTAAGTTGGTTAAGAGTTTCGCCTAAAGATGCATTCACGACCTTCAGTTTGCCAGATACGAGGCATCCGGTTCATTGGCTATTCATGAGTTAATTGAAGTTCAGCTCTAAGTTGGTCATTGATCAGATTAAAAGGTTGGAATGAAGTTTCCTTACGATATTTGCTCAGCCTGTACCGTGCGCATGTCTTGCGTTGGCTAGCATAGCGTTACACTTTTTGTTATTATGCTGGTAGGTGATTGGCTGCTTTTGATTGTAGTCTTACTCCTTCGAAAATATAAGTAGGGGAGAGTGGGGCAAAGCGGCCACCCGGGGCAAAGCGGCCACCCATCGTTTTAGCCCTTCCTAGCTGGCGTCAGTTCCAATTTATGGTTTCCAATTATACTTCTCTTCACGGTCGTTGGAATGAGCTAGACCGGGGTTTCAGGCCCATCACCATTGTTCTGTGAAACACGGAAAAGCATTTCTTGCCAGGTTACCAACTATGTTTACAATTTTTAAATGTTATGTTATTCCATAACCGTTTGGAATTTTTATAAGCGTTCTTGTCCATGCATTGCATGATTATTGTACATGTATTCTACCAATTTTAATATTTTTTACCCCACTAATAGCTAAGCTGGAATATTTTTGTCTCGGACGGTATGCGCGGGGCAAAGTGGCCGGGGCAAAGTGGCCACCCCCAATTGGCCATAAGTTGCTTCCATCTGGATAAAAAACATTATTTATATTCAAATGTGTCGTCATGCAATCATCTTGGCCACTTTTCAGTTGCATGAGTTACCAAATAATGCAATTAAATGTTTATTTTCATGAAAATCCTTTCTTTGTTTACCTACAGGTGGAAGATGATAAAGTAAACATCCATCCTCGCTTAACCTTGTCACCATCAAATACACTAGTCGTACACGAGGCAACTATTTTGTTTCTCATATCGGGACTTGAGAAGACGCCGGTGGCCGCTTTGCCCCAGGGTATGGGGCAAAGTGGCCAATATGCATAGGCTTAAAGTTTTGTCAATATATTTCATATGTGAACGCCTTTGGAAATAAAACGCAGTTGAAATAAAAGGCAACTTACTAGGGATCACATTGGTATAGAAAGAATCTTTCCAAGTTTAAAAATCAAGCGTTGGCATCGTGAGAAGCGTTAGGGTGGCCGCTTTGCCCCACTCTCCCCTACCGGAGTAATGGTTCTAACACAAGAGGGCTGTTTTATGCTACTTTTGTATCAGCATCGCACAGGAAACCGGGTATAAATAGATATTACAAAAATAATTGAATTAGGATGGGACGGCGCGTGGTCAGGTGCCTGGATTTTCATCACTAATGTCACCGATCTATCACTGACACCTGAACACATAGCTCACACTCCATTCGCCCGATTTCTCCACCACGGCACCGAACAGGTGGTCCTGTACCCGCGAATAAGCCCCTCCGGTGTCCCCCATTTCATCTTCCCAATCCGCCCGCTCCATTGTCATCCATTTCCCCTGCGCCGCCGCCCGGTCCATGTCCAACAGAAGAACGACTCCATGAACATTCAGTCTAGCTGTCCATTAAAGCTCGGTGGCACGTGTCCATTAGGCGCGCGGCGGGACTCCATCCATTGAACGATGTGCAATCAGCCGGTCTGGGCCGAGGAGGAATGACCTTGTTCCGCGGCTGTCCGGCCGGCTGGTCGGAGCGGACGCTCTGCCCAGCTGGGTAGGATCGATTCCGGGAGCACTTTCCCCGGCCGGCTGTCGAGCGAACGAGCGGCGGGCGGTGGGCTGTTGTCTGTGAAGGGCTAGTGGGTGCCCCCACGCGCGGTGAGCAGGGCTGACCCGGCGCTTTGGTCAGGCGCACGGCGATGGGGCGTGGAGGGTCGATACCCAAGTGGGTAGGGAGTTAGGGGAATGATTGGGCAATAGGTGGGTCAATAGGGTGCACCCCTCGTGGGAGGCGTTGACCGAAATACCAGGCTAATTCGGATATCATTGAGTGAAATGTATGGCATTTGACAATCAAATTGTTTCATATTTGGTACTGGGTTTGAAATGTTCGATTGTTTAATGTTTAGGGATATATGATTGGACTAAATATTTGTCTACGGATCTTTTCTTCGAAAAGTCAATGCTGATTTAACCTTGGCTTTTGTGCAAGAGCACACCCAAGGTGGTAACATGTTATATAAGCTCAAAGATATACCGGATATTTGATACGTTTTTATAGCATGTACATAGGCCATTTGTAGCACTGATAGCATTTTCTGGGTACTAATAAGGGAGCTAATTCGAAGCACAATCCGAACTCTTATCTTTCTGCTGATTATGAAGTCTCGGCATGAACACTTTAATCCATTTAGCTCGGCGAATCATGCATTGATCCATTGTTGTTGGGCGTCTAACTTACATAACGGTTATTTGAAGGGACTAGTAAAGGTCACCGACTACCTCCACTAACCACATTGCCCCAACAGACGGTAAATAACTTTTGAAAATACCAATTTCCAATTTTAGTGTTTTCTGGACCAAAATTTTGCGAGGAATCCGATGGTGTGGTCCCCGAAATCTGAAAAATTTCCATTTTGGAGATAGCACCTATTTTTTGAAAAATAAGTATTCGTCAGGCTAAATAGTCAAATAAATTGGAAATATAATGAGTTAATTTTTGTAACAACACTAGAATGTGTCGAACATGAATTAGAGATATATTTTAGCTGAGATGATACTATATCTGCGCATACATGTACATGAACTAGTACATTAACCCTCGTCGGCCGAGAAGGGGTGGGGCGGGTGCCGCCTAATAGGGCTTTTCGCGATAGCTTAAAACTCGCTTAGGGTAGACAGCTGAAACTTGGCATACCTAATCTTTTATTCAAGCTGGATCTTTTGACCTCAACTGCGTTTTTAGGTCAGGTCAGGTCACTGACCTATGACGTCATAAATGAGCCTCTGCGAGGTCCTCAGATGTTGCAACTTTGCAACGCCCTCAGTGCCAGAGGAACTTTCACAGGAAGATGAAACTTACAGGACGTAGTATCCTTCAGAGGTCTCACAATTTGTATATCTCGGATTTAACCTAAATGTCACATGAGGTCAGGTCGGTCACGTGACCTCACCATTATAAGTCAATGGGGGAAATACGAAAACTGTTATTTTGGCGCCGGTAATGATCTAAAACTATCCCAAGCACATGAAATCGTGGTTTCATGATCGGACCTTACAAAGAGTACATGAAACCACGATTTCATGTGCTTGGGACAGTTTTAGATCATTTCCGGCGCCAAAGTAACAGTTTTCATATTTCCCCATTGACTTATAATGGTGAGGTCACGTGACCGACCTGACCTCATGTGACATTTAGGTTAAATCCGAGATATACAAGTTGTGAGACCTCTGAAGGATACTACGTCCTGTAAGTTTCATCTTCCTGTGAAAGTTCCTCTGGCACTGAGGGCGTTGCAAAGTTGCAACATCTGAGGACCTCGCAGAGGCTCATTTATGACGTCATAGGCCAGTGACCTGACCTGACCTGAAAACGCAGTTGAGGTCAAAAGATCCAGCTTGAATAAAAGATTAGGTATGCCAAGTTTCAGCTGTCTACCCTAAGCGAGTTTTAAGCTATCGCGAAAAGCCCTATTAGGCGGCACCCGCCCCACCCCTTCTCGGCCGACGAGGGTTAATGTACTAGTTCATGTACATGTATGCGCAGATATAGTATCATCTCAGCTAAAATATATCTCTAATTCATGTTCGACACATTCTAGTGTTGTTACAAAAATTAACTCATTATATTTCCAATTTATTTGACTATTAAGCCCAAAGAATATTTATTTTTCAAAAAATAGGTGCTATCTCCAAAATGGAAATTTTTCAGATTTCGGGGACCACACCATCGGATTCCTCGCAAAATTTTGGTCCAGAAAACACTAAAATTGGAAATTGGTATTTTCAAAAGTTATTTACCGTCTGTTGGGGCAATGTGTAACAGGTTAGAGCTCTGTTTTACCTTTGTGATTTGCGAGGATACTCTAGCTCATTCGGGTGTTGGGAGCAAGCTAAACTTGTTAATCAAATGGTTTAAAAATGGTAAAAACGGTAATTACCAAAACTGGTAATCATGGTTTGACCGTTGTCCTCTGTCACTTTCAGAGCTGGCCGTCATCGCCCGAAGACGCACCGGCCCCCGAGGTGTAGCCTCTGCGCCGGCGGCCGCCTGCCATAGCCTCTGCGCAGGCGTCCCGGGGTGGCCTAGCCAATTCGGCAGCCTTCTCTTTTCTACCTTATATCGTAGTATCCATTGTAGCTGTTAGCGGCCCGTCTGAAGAGGCCGCTCGCTTCGCGTCGCTGCTGGTCTCCTGGTTTTTCTCTGGCACGAAGAGGAGCGTCTCCTCCCGGTGTGCAGCGCCATCTGTCAGGTGAGAACTCAAACTGGCCTCTCTGGCGTGATATCAGCTGATGTGACTGATGCCGAATGAATGAATTGCATTTTGATTACAAACGATAAAAGCGACTAAACAGAGCATTCACTTCTTAGCTACCGAATGAAAAGCAGCATAGGCCTACTTCTTCACATGCATACCTAGTATACTGACTGCCATTTGGCGTAGCAGCGATGATTGCGATAGGGGAAGTTGGGGGAACGCCGAATACTTTTTTTTCTGACGCCCGTAGCACGCAAGGTAGACAACATAAGCTATTCTTGTTGGCGTCATTCGAGAGGCCAGTCTTTTGCCTTTAAAACATACCAGGCGCATTTGATGAATTCGCATACCGTTAAGCGCACAAACTAAAAATATCAAAGAAGTGACTTTTTCGGCGTTGCCCCGGACTGCGGGGAAAGCCGAAAATGGGAGAAATGATCTACGGGGAATGCCGACATTGATGTTTTGCCACTTTATCTCAAACTTTATCCAGAATTTATCAAAGCTGACACGCGTTTTAAGAGCTTGAGGACGCTTGGTGCACACTGGAAGTTATAATTGTGTGATATAATAAGAAAATACCAGGTAAATAATTCCTTAGAGGTAACAGGCCGTTGTGTCGGTTGCAAGTGTCATTTGTGTGACTAAAAATTCGCGTTGCTAGTCTACAGCAGTAAAGTCCACGTAGCGTGCTTTAACGTGCGTAATTGCACGTTTTCGGCATTACCCCAGCCAGCCACACTTTCATTTGCAGGCCCATAACTTTTCAACGTGCCGTATAAATTTCAAATAGTCAGCACACTTATGCAAAGACATGCTGAAGATTACTTGACCGAATTGGCCAGACAAACGGTAGCATAATGAGTAAGAAATGCAGCTTCAAAGGCGCATGTAGTACAAGGAACGCGTACCTTGAAAACGCTCTTGGCGCCCTCACAGCCGAAGTATTCCGAATGACGACTCGTAACAAACATGCGATAATTGTACTCACTTAAGCTTCAGAGCATCACTGACAGGTGGCATCCATGTCTTACGGTTTTCGAAATATCTCGAATTTCGGCTTTGCCCCAACTCCGGCATTGCCCCAACTTCCCCTACCTACAGTGATCAGTGATCATGTCACTGTTTTTATGTGTGCATCATCATGTTCATGTTATATGTGTGCACTGTGTAGTGTGCACTATGTAGTTCCATTAGCTGTAAGGCACAAGCTGAACCTTTTGACATTTTTTAGGCATCTATGCTTGAATCAAATTGATACAGAACACGTTGTGCATGCACTTTAAGTTTATTTTTTATCGATTATTGACATTGCTGCTCGTCCATGCAAGTAGAGATACGAATTACACCACTTGTTCACTCGTTATTACGCGTCCATTGCTATCAGTGTCTCTCTAGTGACAGCGTGACAGACAGCAGGCACCTAGACCCCCGGACAGGACAGAGCAGTGACGCCGAGACTGACTTCTGCAAAATGTCAGGGGCTGGGGACTCTGGTGCTGGGCTGGTCTGGAACTGGGTCTGAAGCTGGGTCACTTGTAGCCGAGGTGGGAATGCTGATACTGCTGGATTTAGACTTTTTGGGATAGGTATTGCAGCTGCATCGACATTCATGTTCACTGTTCAGACAAGCGTTTCAACTGTAGCGTTCTGGAGGCATTCTTTCCTCTCTGTTGCGCAAACATCTATGCCATATTTCCCACGAGACCCTGCTATCCATGACTGACACACTAACAATCAAATCTGTCCGAGCACAAGGCGGCGCCAATCCCGATAATGGCGCAGCGCTGAATGGCATCACACCCACGTATGGGGGGGGGGGGTCAGGGGCATTGGTTTATAGACGGGCCAGTGTATCGAGGCGGCAGAAGACAGCCCAGCTCCTAAAGTGATTTCGCCCAGAGACTGGTTTCGTAACTGCTCTGAGGCAGTGCTAGGCTGTGAATCGTGATTTAATTTGAAGCTGCTGACGTGCAGGGGATTTTTCAGTGAGTTCTGTCTACAGTAAGGCAGGATAATACATTCCCATACATGCAGCATTGCACGTTTAAATCGAGAAAGCCAGGCATTAAAATGGCACGTGCATTATACTGCACTTTTGAAACATACGAGAACTCAATGCTGATTGGTTTCCGAGACATGCAGGAAAATATGTTTTCCTGCACCTTTGGACGTTTTCCTGCACCCCTCGACATTTTCCTGCACCTCTCAAATATATGACGTCATTATGAATGACGTCACATCATAAAGTTGAAGAGCATCATTTTGCTCCTTATAACTTCATTTTATCTATCGTCCATTTTATTTGATTGGCTTATGATATATGTGCCTACATTTTGTTTGATGCAATAATTTTATTATTTGTCATGAATAAAGTGAAACATCACCATATAAAACTTAAACTTTGACGCTATTTCGCAACAAACCATAGCCACGAAGGACTCAACAAGGTTGAAATTGGAGCGTTTTGGTTCCTCCATAACATTTGCAACGCTCCCTATAATGGTACGCATGTATGGGAAATAGCTTCCTGCCCTGTGCTGGGAAAATTTGATGGTGTCACCTCGTATTTTAATCGAAAGTACCTCGGGCCTACCGGCCCTCGGTACTTTCAATTAAAAAACTCGGTGACACCATTAAATTTTCCCAGCCCCGGGCAGGAATGTATTTTCCCATACATGCAACATTGCACGTTTAAATCGAGAAAGCCAGGCATTAAAATGGCACGTGCATTATCCTGCACTTTTGAAACATACAAGAAGTCAATGCTGATTGGTTTCCGAGACATGCAGGAAAATATGTTTTTCTGCACCTTTCGACGTTTTCCTGCACCCCTCGGCGTTTTCCTGCACCTCTCAACTATATGACGTCATTATGAATGACGTCACATCATAAAGTTGAAGAGCATCATTTTGCTCCTTATAACTTCATTTTATCTATCGTCCATTTTATTTGATTGGCTTATGATATATCTGCCTACATTTTGTTTGATGCAATAATTTTATTATTTGTCATGAATAAAGTGAAACATCACCATATAAAACTTAAACTTTGACGCTATTTCGCAACAAACCATAGCCACGAAGGACTCAACAAGGTTGAAATTGGAGCGTTTTGGTTCCTCCATAACATTTGCAACGCTCCCTATAATGGTACGCATGTATGGGAAATAGCTTCCTGCCCTGTGCTGGGAAAATTTGATGGTGTCACCTCGTATTTTAATCGAAAGTACCTCGGGCCTACCGGCCCTCGGTACTTTCAATTAAAAAACTCGGTGACACCATTAAATTTTCCCAGCCCCGGGCAGGAATGTATTTTCCTGCCCGGGGCTGGGAAAATTTAATTGTGTCACTGAGTTTTTTAATTGAAAGTACCGAGGGCCGGTAGGCCCGAGGTACTTTCGATTAAAATACGAGGTGCGGGAAGCTATTTCCCATACATGCGCACCATTATATGGAGCGCTGCAAATGTTTTTGAGGAACCAAAACGCCCCAATTTCAACCTTGTTGAGTCTTTCCTGGTTATGGTTTGTTGCGAAATAGCGTCAAAGTTTTATATGGTGATGTTTCACTTTATTCATGACAAATAATAAAATCCTTGCATCAAACACAATGTAGGTAGGTATATCATAAGCCAATCAAATAAAATGGACGATAGATAAAACGAAGTTATAAGGAGCAAAGTGATGCTCTTCAACTTTATGATGTGACGTCATTCATAATGACGTCATATAGTTGAGAGGTGCAGGAAAACGCCGAGGGGTGCAGGAAAACGTCGAAAGGTGCAGGAAAACATATTTTCCTGCATGTCTCGGAAACCAATCAGCATTGACTTCTTGTATGTTTCAAAAGTGCAGGATAATGCACGTGCCATTTTAATGCCTGGCTTTCTCGATTTAAACGTGCAATGTTGCATGTATGGGAAAAATCATTTTAACTTTTGTTTGATCACAGATAACAGTAGTACTGTTATCTGTGGTTTGATTTTTACTCTCTTTACATATAAAAGATGCGGCGGTCATGGGGCGTGTCATGCAATGTCTTTCAGTAGGTAATTAATTTGTAATTGCATTATATGTTTCTGATATTTCCTTATTTAGTGCAGTGTAAGCACAGACTGTGAGGCCACTTACTGAATGTCTATTCTAAAACACATTCATACAACACAATGGAACACAAACACACACGGACGCAGACCATAACAGAAGTATGTCATTGAGTGTCACTTTTAAGTGCAAGCACCTTACTAGCTCCATTCGATTTATGTTAGGCACGTTATGAAAAAAGAAGTTTTACATTGTATTACCTTAGATGAAGAAAATTCAATGTTTCATGCAGTCCAGAATAAAGCTTATTCCTTTGTAAAAGATGGTTCTTCTTGAATCATTAATTAGTAATAAGAGATTGAACGATTACATAAAGAAAATATTGCAGAGGAGCCTGCTTCTGAAATATTCTGATTCAGAAGATGGCACTGCCTAAAAATGTGAGGCCCGCAATCCGAACGATGCTATACGATCAGAATGGTATAATAAATCCACTGCATATTGTGATGTGGGCTCAGAGATCAATTTTGACCGTACCAGGTGACTTCGACATTCCCATCGCACGGCGCATAAATCAAAGCAATCGGTGAAGTTATGAGAAGAGGCGACGTTATGATGAAATTCCTCATCCTATGCTATAGAGTGGTGGCAGAGAGAGAACGGTGTTGTTTTGAAATTTAATCATGAAGTATTTGGGATAAGGGATAACAGATAAAAATCGTACGCGTAAGCACATTATATTTCAAATAAAGAATGTCCATGATAACTAATTTAAATTTATCCTGACTAAAAGTTCATCTTGGCCCAGCCAGCCACCATCACAGGGAAATGTATGAAATTGCAAACCACACCAGCATCTATACTCACATTGAAGGACGTGATTTGAAGCATACCATAACATTTGAAGCATAGAAACATTATGATATTAATCAAATATTCAGAAACGATA